GAACATCCAGATAAAACCAGATTGGTATTTGCACATTGTTAATTGAACACTAGATGGACCCCTGATGGAAGTAACAATTTAATTCCCTTCATTACTTTTTGATGGAAATACTTCAGAGGGTTTGAAAATAAAAGTAAATCCTGCTACAGCAATGTTGTGTCCTCTTTGAACACTTGTGTTCAAGTTAACACGAAGGTCAAATGATTAATATAATCAATGTTTCATAGCTCGAAAATATTTTTAATGCTTGAAAAAAATAAGATATTCCCACTGCCTAATTAGAGGTTTGTAACCATCACAGTTTTTATTTATATTCAGCGGACATAGATAGGGCTGAAGTTTACCAATAATTGACTAAGGGTCATTTCTGAGGAGTTCCATGGAGGGTTCGCTCTGTGAACTCCAGTGATTTATCTCACACAATTCTTGCTACTGATCTCATTATCTATGCATCAGAGCTCCATGGCTCACACTATCATATGATCAACAGTATTTGCCAGTGCTGAAACTTTCTGATTTTTGCTGCCAGGGCCATATTTAAAGCCCAGTTATGCACAAGGTCAATTGCTGCCAGCCACCAGTTGCTTTTCACAGTACATGTAGTGGAAGACAAACAACACAGAAATAATTCTAAGGGCACCTACCTGTCACAGGTCACTTTTCATAGCAAACAGAACTTCCCATTCGTAAATCCCTCCCTAATGGAATTCCCTCCCTAAGGGCAATGTGGGTCAACAGGTAAACTGTAGTGGTTCAAGAAGGCAGTTCACCACCACTTTAAGGGCAACTTGGGACGGGCAATAAATGCTGACCCAGCAGCAATGCCCACATTCCACAAAATGAATTTTAAAAAATCCACCTGATTGATCAACTGACATTATGACTATGGCTGCAAGAATCAAGCTACACAGGCTACCTGTCCTCAGTGCCTATCAAGGTAGAACTCTGTCTAAGGGAAAGCTACTCTTTCTGTTACATGCAACACAGTGTAACATTCTATCATTGTCCACCACTGACTGTGGCCCACCCTGATGACTGAATTAGAAGAACAGACTTGAATAAAAAATGAACAGACCCCAACTGTCTGGACCTGTCGGACTAGTTAGGCAGTTGTTTTTGACTGGTGCGTACACAATGGGCTGACGGGCTGTAGATCTGTGCTGTAGATCTCTATAACTGACCAGGGCCAACTCCCAGATTCTGAACGCCGATTCTGACTGTCCCAAGCATCCAGCGGACCATATCCAGCTTCTTGGACTGATATCAGGTGATGCCCTTGACTTACTGTCCCAGTACACTATGATTAATGACATTCTCTCTTGACTTGACTGAGGACTACGTTCCTCAGACTTTGAGACACAGCCATTTGGTTGAAGCACATCCAGAGTGCTTGGTGCATAAACTGTTGGCAGGTTTTGTACGTGTGACATTGATGTAGTACAGTAGCATTAAGCAATATGTCCACCCCTTTCACTAATCATTTCTGGGCAATATGAAAAGCTGCCTGGCTTTGTGTCTGCACTAAGTAGCATGTCAATATGTAGATTTGTGAGCCTATACATTCTTACTGATGTGGTAATGTACATAACAAGGGCAAGGAAAGGCAAGGCAGAGGTGCTCTTGGACATCCAAATAGGTACAGAATATGAGTGCTAAGAAAGCAAGCTAAGAGCCCTAAGATGCACCCTGTTCTAATGCTTGAGAGGGTGCATCTCAGTAGCAGTATTGCTGGCCAAGGTGGAAGCGTGGAGGAGCAAGTGACAACCTGGAGTTCTAGCTTTCATGTTGTAAATTGTCACTATCTACTCTCACTCCACTATGTGCAAGAGTAGAAAATTGCATACAAGTGAGGTACAATTAGGCACCAATGAGATGAAAATAGGCCTCTTCACGCTAAGCATCAACATTCTCATCTCACTGATCAAATCATGGATGGAAAATTGAGGAAAAAAAATGTCCAAAGTCGAGAATCTCATATTCCCAATCTTGCCATATTTTCCTGCCTGACTTGCCCTTGCCTATGTTGTTCTGGGCCAGAACAATTCAGCCCATTATGATACTACAAATTTCTAAAGTTGCTGCACCTATTCCAATCTAATGATTGCTGACAGATATTTAAATCTCGAATGCCACCTCAATACTATAGTGGGCATTTGTTTAGTATGAAATAAGTAATGGAATCAGTGAAAAACCTTTATAATAAAGTCTACTGCTTCTTAATATAATGTTTGCAACGGTATATTAAACAAATATACATTTGCTCTTACCAAAGAAATGTTCTTAATGAACAAATCATCTAGTATCAATAGCATGATTATTTATGTGACTTACTTTGTAAGGAGCCTTCATATTTTGATTGAAAGCACCTATTTATAGTACCTGTGTTATAATCAGTCACAGCAATTGACTGTGCAGTGTCGTACAGGGTTTAGAATAAGTCTCCAAAAACGGGGGGGCCTTTGTATTTTTCTTAATAAAACATCACTACAGAATGAACAAATAGAATACTTTGTATTCAATTTTACAGAAGAAAGGATATAATAATTAGAGGCCTGACATCCATTATGCAAGTCAAATAAGGGAAAAATGATGAAAAATTTAAAAAAAACAAGTTTTACAAGAGAGTGATTAAATCAGTTTAAGGGTAATAATTGCACAATGAAATGCACAATTCAGTCATTAAACAAATACTTATTTTGTTGAAATATATTTAGTGCATCTGAAAATACTTCTTCAGTTTTTGAGGCAGCGATGCACTAAATTTATAAAGGACAAAGCACATATACAAAAAATGATTAAAAACCTGCTAAAATGCCCAGACTGAAAAAAAAGAGATCAATTAATAGCTGATCTCAAAAAGTAAAAATAATGATTCAAACTGACATGCTACTAGAATGAATAACATATAAAGTTTATTATATTTACCTTACTTCAGCCATGCTGCATGTTAATAAAACAGATAATCGAAACATTAACTTAGGAAATGTTTAATATATGCCCCAAACTAAAGTATGGGTTGTGTATTTGGCATTATTCTGAATCACTGTTGCTACTAAATTTAATCTTGAGAACAGGACAACGTGGCTGAGCCTTTGTTTATAATGAATGAATTATAAAATTTAATTCTATGCTTCAGCTTTATACATCTGCTATGAATTTTAAACTACCAACGTTTAAACTCATTTTCACAGCCCCATTTAATTCCCTATGAATAAGTTGCATCAGAATTGAACCCTCCCATCCTCAATGATTGAGCAGCTTAATCTGGTGCATAGCGTAACATCAGCTGGCTTCAGAATCTAAAAACTGAACTTGCTTCTTTGGTGCTGTGTACATTGAATTTAATGCAGTATAAACAGCAAAGGCATGATTCAGCATCTGAGTTGCAGAAAGCCAGCTAATTGGACTTTAAATGAAAAATTGAGAGTCGAGGTTGAGAGTTGAGCTGCATATTTGGATTTGAAAATCAATTGCAAGCTTAAATATTCCCCAATATTTAACCGAGACATTTGACTGCCAAATCAGTCACAGTATAAACATGATATATTGAAACTGTGATGCTCCTAATTCCCTTACTGAATCAGAAAAGTAAAACACTACAACAGTTTAATGGGTAAATGCAGAATCTATTATGCCATTGAATCCTACAGAATATAATTACTTTTCATTCTTTACCTGTGTTCAGTTAACTAATCTCAAATCATATGGCAATTACAGCATATTAATTGGCTTGAGTATCCTTTGGCTGGAGGGCAAGAAAACAGCCAGAATTTTCATTCACAAATAAGCCCCAGTAATTTCTGCTGGAAATTGACTATATGAAGATTACATTGGGCTTGGTTGCAAGGGCCTGCATCTGAAGCAAACAAGCAATCACTTAACCCATACGTGAAAAATATGTGATCAGGAAGGAAGCAAAGGACTTCAGACACCAAAGGAACCCTACCTGAATAGCTATCTCAGAGAAGTAAGAAAATAGGGAATATAGAGAGAAGAGGGGAACAACAAAAGACAGCATTTTCAAATAAAAGTAAAGCAAGCATTAACATATTTAAACATTTTTGTAGATACATTTACTCATGTTCATATACATGATATCTAAAATATATTCAGATTTTTAAAAACTGGGCAATGCAAACAATTCCCTGAAACATTTTGCATTGACTTAATTCTACAATTAAAATGACAAATGTAATATTAATTTGGATTACACTCTGTAGGAAGAAAAAGTTGCAGATAAGTTGCTGCTCCTGTGGACATTATCAGAATTCTTAAAATGCATTCGTGGGTAACATTTAATGTTTTATATCAAATTAGCATGATTTGTTATGGAAAACCTTTATGATGTTAAATGTAGCTATATTAAGGAAAGAATAGAAAACCCCAAAAGAAAACCCCACTAAAATAGATATTAAGAGGCTTGGAAGTAAAGCATGCGTAAAAAGCTGAATGTTTCTCCAAGACAGAATGAAATTAAAACATTAAACATTGTTCAAAAGACAATTGTCAAAACACTCTTTCCATTTAGGAACAATTTATTTCTCAACATTGTCCTCCAGAGCATATACCTTTTCAATCAGTTGCTTGTTTTCCTTTTCCAATTTATAGCAGTTATGAGTGGTTTACCACTTCTTTATAATCATCACTACCAATTATTTGATAAGAGTTATACTTGAAACAAAGCTTAAGATAAAAAGGCAAGCATGGTACTGTGTTTACCTTAAACACAAAATATGCTTTAACTGATTTATTCAGCCAGTAGACTGTAGACAAATTACACGAAAACAAAACATATTCAGGTAGGCCAATTCCTTTAAGTTACACCTAATATGAAAAGACATACAAACATCAAAACATGCATAACTAACAAATTAACACACACCAAAAAGTTATCCATTTGTAAAGATTTTGAGATATTGAATTAGAAGTTGTTGGGAAAACGTAAACACTTAACAAATAGCAACAGCAAATGGAGTACTCCATATTTTACATATACTCACGCCTTTTCTGTGAAACTGCTTGCAAACATGCTGTCACAATATCACTATTCTTCTGTACTTTGTGTGAAAGGTTGTCTTTTCTCCTTAATTGACGAACCAGTTTTGCAGATTGGACAGCGATTCTGTATTTCAGCTCTTCTATAATTCGCTTAAGCTCATCTACATCTGTTATCATGAAAAAAGATATATTTGTAAGCGAGATGTTAATAACTGCAGAATTCTAGTAATAAGTTGTTTCCGTGTCCTTTTAATCTGGAGTTCCACTACTATTATAAAAATGATTTAAATTGTTTCAATATTATCTCAATAGTGAAATAGCTCGTATTTCGGATTTTTTTTTAAAACTGCCAAATGTTACTCTGTTCGGTGTGAAAGCCCCCTCTTTAATCTTTTTGTCACTGAAGTAAAATGAGACAATGGAATTCTTGCAAAATGCCAGGAATTGTCCTCAAGTTTTCTTATAGATTTGTAACATTCAGAACGAGGTGAATGATCCCTTCAAATATTAGTGACGAATATTGTGATCTCAATGGGCTATTTCACCATCAGAGAGAAGATCTTAATCCCCAAACCTGCAATTCCACTGCCTGTTCAATTGGTGTGTGTCATTTCGTGGAAAGCGGAACACACAGATGCAACATTTAGAATCGAAGAGAACATGCTGAGTTTACATTTTAGGGCTGTGCCAATGATTTTTCAGCCCTGGCCGCCCACATTAATTAACATGTTTAGCTTCAAAAATCAGCATTTTTACGACGCAGAATGAGGCCATTCGGTTCATCGTTTCTGTGTTGGCCCTCCAAATGAGCACCTCACTCAACGCCATTCTTTTACCTTCTCCCCCCTTTCTGGCTCCACAAATTACGCTTAAATTCGCTGCTGCCGCCCACTGAAGTGTTGCACCATTTGGCTCAGATAAATGACACTGAAGAATTCGATTTTTCGCCACGTCAAACTCGACAAGATGCTATTGTAAGCACCAAACATGGAGATTCTTGCTCTGGCGATAAAGTTAAATATAAAACGTTTTCACTTTTTCTACTGCAGTAAGCCCTGGTGATCCAGGAGCTAGACAACACTATTAACAAATCAAATGACCAACATCAAACACCTCAAAACACCCATGGTCTCTTCCAACCGTTTAATTTCAGTCACACTGGCTTGTAAAACGAGACTGATTATCGTTTATCACGTACCTCATTTATTGACCTCCACAATTCTACAAGCAATATTTTTGCATTCTACTTGGTTACAGTAGAATAATTTGAATTATGGTGCATTTTAAAGATTATATATTAATTAACTGCGAAATTGGGGATTCCTAGTATTTTAACCAGATTTCCATTGCGTTCTTTAGAAATTCAAAGTCACCTAAAGCTTTGTTTGACTCAGTAATCTTCAGAATTATATTGACATTTTGCGTTGAAGTGTAGTCGAACTCAAAATTGATACAGGAAGAAACAAGGAAGATGTTCATAAAAATCACGAAGTTTTTATTATTTATTTATTGTTTTCATGCTATACCTTTCTGTGCCAGGTACAGCATCTGATGTTTTGCAGTGTACTGTTCCTGAAATTCTTGCAAGAACATAGATCCAGAATTACTCCTTCCCAGAAAAGCATCGGAGCTGGAGGTCTCCGTTGAACTATCCACGCTGTCAATGCTTCTGCTGCTGTAAGCGCAGGAATCATACAGTTCGATCAACAGGCCGTCCACAATGGATGAAGTTCGCTTGCAAGCGATACTCGCTGTTCCAGACCGGCTCTCCCTGCCTCCGCTACTATAGTGGGCTCCCGCCGCTTTTTCCGTGGCATTCGCCCCTTTCGTCCAGTGCTGCGTTGGCATTAACGTTGAGGGTGACACCGGAGAGAGGGGAATGGCCTCGCTGTCCTTTGGCAGCCAGGGGCCTTGCGCTGTTTTCTGGGGTTCGGTGATCTGCATCCACTGCTGGAAGCCGGACATCCCGCTCGAGTTAGAACCAACCACGAAGCTGTCACTTCCACTGGAGATGTCGACTTCGGAAAGTTCATTTTGAGGGATGTGAAGAGACGCAGCCATTCTACACCACCGACTGCCGACTTGCTGCAAACTCCCCCCAGGGACAGTGAGCTTCAGGTGGATGGGAAGCTAGTTCCGGGTCCTCACCATTGTACTGTTTGGGGAGGCAGGTTCGGCACATCCTCAATTTCTCACATCCCCTCACTTAAATTAAATCCTTTCTTTCTCGGCAAGGACGTTTCGTTTGACTATGACCACATTATATTTACTTTAAAGTACTTTGTATTGAGGTCAACTGCATTGGAATCACGGACTTCTCTCCTCCCCACCGCCTTTATGGCACATTCTGGCGATTATAATTTGTGCAGGTAAATTTACCGTGTCAGGGTTTGCAGCCAACTGCAAATGGAATTCACCAAGACGAGGACGCAATGTTTAAAATAAATATTAGGAATGAAATAAATTTGAGAGCGATTTTTGGGTATTTAATCAAGGGATATCTTTCCTTGAGTTTTTTCTAGAGTGTCAGATACTGTGCTTTCTAGCTAATATTTTCAGCATGAAAATTAAAACTATTTATTAACGTTATGAGGGTCAGTAGATCCTCTTAACCTAGATATCATAGCTGGCTGTGATAACAAATTTATACCAAGACTAAGACCGCCAGAATACGCAATATGTATTTAAACCTTTTAAATGTTAAGAGTAGAAAAGACATCACATTACCACCTCCGAATATGTGTTTCCTCTAAAATAAAACTCATAATTTAAGATATATTTTCTGTACAGTCAAGATTACAATTATAATCAAGGAATCTTCAGCAAAATTTTGACTTCACTTTTACATAGTTATTACCATTACCACATAAGTGCACTGTTAATTTGTGAGCAGAAGCAACTGACTTTGTTCTAATGCTGTCATTAATGAAACTACCCAATATATGTTATGTTATGTTATATTGTGCTGGTGATTGATGTCTGTACTCAGTGTAGCAAATTGTGTTAATGAATGTAGAGCACTAAATGTGAGTTCTTTACACTAGCTTTCTGTCAGAGATTTATGAAAATTTGTCTGTTGTTTGGGCGTTATAGTTAGCTGTCAGTAAAATCCTATCTCTTCCTTGTTTTTGTGCATTAGAAGTTTGTTTTGGTTTTATTCAGGAAAGCAATTATCATGATTTTCCTTCCTGACTGAAACTCCCACTTGTTATTAGTAGGCCAAAGTCTGATTGGCCATTTTATTTCTTAATAAAAAAAACACATCTACTGACAAATTAAAGATCACTAAATCCTCTTAACCTAGATATTGAATTTGGCACTGTGATGGATTTCTGAGTACATATTTAAGCTAACAATAAAACCATTCATTTCTGCCCCAAAACTCAGCCAACTCCACCCTGCCTTAACCTGTCTGCTGCTAATAACCTTACCATCCCTTTGTTTTTAACATTCAGACATAACTATTCTAATGTAGTCTTGGCCAACATCCCACATTCTACCCACGTAAACTGGAGGTCATTCAAAACTTTACTGCTTGTGCCCTTACTGGCCCAAGTCCTGTTAACCCATTCCTATCCTCACTAACCTTCATTGAGACCTTGGGGAAAAAACTAACTTGTTTTTAAAATTCTCATCCATGTTTTAAAATCTGATTCACATCCATCCCCGTTAGCTGTTCCTGGCCCACATCCCTCCAAGATATCTGAACTCATCTAATTCTAATCTCTTGAGCATCCTTGATTTTAATTGCACCACTACTGATGACTGTGTTTCACATGCTTAGGCTCTAAGCTCTGTCATTTGCTCTGCAAAAATTAATCTTCTCTATCTCTCTCTCCTATCTAAGATATTCCTTAAAATGTTTCTCTTTGACCAAGCTTTTGGTCATCCAAAATGATATCCCTTTTGTACCTTTTGCTTTGTAATACTCCTCTGAAGTGCATTGGATATATTTTATTACAATAAACGTGCTATATAAATGCAAACTATTGTTGAAAATCAGTGGGGAAAATGGGGAAGTAGGTCATAATAGTCATAACAAGGAAAGTATTTTTTCCCAAAAATATACATTATTCATAAACTTTTTTAAAGAAAGTACATTGCAAAACATTTCAACTTGAATATTACAGAATTTGCATTACAATTTAACACTTCTCCACACAGCATGTTTCACTCACTAAGACTGCAATTGCCTTCATATTTACAATACACAGTCCACATCAGGTATCCAGCAAGTGAACAAAACATTTCAAATTGGAGATGTCCAAAAGTGCATTAGAAATAATATTTGCTTCATAAATCATTTTCTGCCCTGGGGTACTTGAATACCTCTTCAATTTTCTTAATTTTTCATGATGTACTTTCATTGTAGAGCACTCAGCTCTAGGGGTCTCTTTGTACACGATAGCTAAAAAACCTTAGCCTCCTAGATTTCTAAGGTGCATCCAAGTATTTAGTTTCTTTCGACAAAAGGATCCGTTACATTATTGTTCTGGAATCCAGGAGAAACCTTGCAATGGGAATGTTTCCATTCACATGAGAAGCAAACAGGACATCAGTTTAAAATCTCATGTGAAAGATAGTGCCTCTTCTTCAGAGCTGCAATGAAAAGTGAATATGCAGTTTCTTTCCACACTGCAAGTAATTAGGATGTTGAAGTGCCGGTGATGGACTGGGGTGGACAAGGTCAAAAAAATCACACAACACCAGGTGACAGCTGAAGAATGAGTGAGACTCCGAAAGCTTGTGTCTTCAAACAAACCTGTTAGACTATAACCCAGTGTCATGTGATTTTTGACCCTGCAAGTAGTTAGGGTCTGGAATGCCCTGCCTGTAAGTGTGGTGGAGGCAAGTCCAATCAAGGCATTCTTGAGGGCATTAAATAATTATTTGAATAAAAACAATGTGTAGGGTTATTGTGGAAAAAACAGGAGGGTGGCACAAAATCATAATATTCATTCGGACAGCCAATACAGACACAATGAGCCATATACTTCCTTATGCATTGAAATAATTCTGTGATCCTGTGATTGACTCATTTCACTGGAGTGATAACACTTCAATCCACAACTTCTGACTCAGAGGCAAGTATGCACCCAGTAAATGAATACTGTCAGTGGCTGCTCAGGAACCCGCATATTCATTCATTTGCATACAGTGAATGTTTGTAGCACTATTTTTAAAATAAAACCACCAGTCTTGATCTGTGTTGCCACCTAGTGATTTAATTGAAAACTCAACTATAGAATTATCATTCCTTAGATTCTTTTGAAATAATGGGCAGAACTGACAATGACAATAACAGGGAGCCCATCCCACTAGTTTAAAAGCTGGTGCATTCTCACTCACTCACAAGAGGCCTGATGAGAAGAAGTGTCAGGCCAGGATGTGTGTAAAATCTTGGGAGGAGCATAATGTCAAAGCAAAGCAGAAACTGCTCTTTTGAGAGCTCTACTCCCTCTCTGTTGCAGGTAAAAACACAATCATCAGGTGGAAGGCACTCTTTCTGATGTTCTATGTAGTGCAGGTATCACCATTCCTCAAAACTGTACTGTTTCAGTCACCCAAGCCATCCTCCACTTCATCTAGAGGTCTAAGATAGCCCAGGTCTACAGGGACTCCATTGTCAAAACTCTAAGGGCAGGAAGAACGTTCCCACTATCACCCTCATCCTGATGGCCATCAAGATGTGTGTAGACCAAACACTGAGTGTCACTATGTATTGAGGTTCTACCTGTCCCCAGTATTGTGAAGGATGGGAAGTTGTGGAATGTCCATCAGATTCTGAGGGAAAAGGAGGAGGAGGACCCTCTCATGTGATTCCCTGAGCTGATGGTCAAAGTCATTTGGCAGAATGCCTCATCATCAGAACTTTCCAACAAGACACTTGGCTAGTGGTGAGAAGGGCCACTACCTGTGAGATCCTTCAATGTACACCCAGACTCTCTCCACCACTGTATACTGCCCTCAAAGCAGCTGTAGGGGGTGGAGTTGAGACTGTCATACATCTCTTGCTGGAATGTGCCTTTGCAAAGGAAGTCTGGAGAAAGACAGTGGTTTTTGTCAAGGTTCGTCCAGAGCAGCACCATGATGCTGGACTCTGTGCTCTCCAGTCTCTTCCCCACCCACAATGCATACTGAAACAAACATCAACTCAGTGAAAGACACTCTTTGGTCTGCCTGAAACTTGTTCGTCTTCCAGAACAAGGAGTTGACTTTGATCAAGTGTTGCAGACTGGCACATTCCAAGGTCTAGGACTACATGCTGAGGGACGCACTAAAGCTTAGGCCAGCTGCCGCCAAGGCACAGTGGGGAAAGACCACTGTCTGAGGTCTTCCTGCTGAAGGTAAGTCGGGATTTGTTCAGTTACCAGTCCCTCCTAGTGCCTCAATGCATGTAAATATAGTCTTGTATGTGTAAAAGAGGTCTTTGGTTTGTTTGGATTGAGTGAAACTCTAATGCTTGTTTGTTTCTTTGGTACATTGGTGGAGTTGTGGACAGCATGGAGGGCTGTTGTAGGTTGCAACAGGACATTGACAGGATGCAGAGCTGGGCAAAGAAGTGGCAGATGGACTTCAACCCAGAAAAGTGTGAAGTGATTCATTTTGGAAGGTCGAATTTGAATGCAGAATACAGGGTTAATGGCAGGATGGGGTTGTAAAGAAGGTGTAAGGTGTGTTGGCTTTCATTGGCAGGGAAATTAAGTCTAAGAACAGTGAGGTTATGCTGCAGCTCTATAAAACTCTGGTTAGACCACACTTGGAATATTGTATTCAGTTCTGGTCACCTCATTATAGGAAAGATGTGGAAGCTTCGGAGAAGGTCAGAGGAGATTTACCAGGATGCTGCCTGGACTGGAGGGCAGGTCTTATGAAGAAGGGTTGAGGGAGCCAGGGCTTTTTTCATTGGAGCGAAGAAGGATGAGAGGTGACTTGATAGAGGTGTACAAGATGATGAGAGGCATAGATGGAGTGGATAGTCAGAGACTTTTTCCCAGGGCAGAAATGATTATTACGAGGGGGCATAATTTTAAGGTGATTGGAGGAAGGTATAGAGGAGATAGCAGAGATAGGCTCTTTACACAGAGAGTGGTGGACGTGTGGAATGCGCTGCTGGCAGTGGTAGTGGAGTCAGA